GTCCCTGCGGACGCTTGGCCGCATATGGCAGAGGAAAGACAGTTGAGCATCCTGGCTGTCCATGCTCCTGCGCTTGCGGGCTTTCTTCTGCTGGCACCGTCCAAGATGTGTCGCAGATCGCGATTCAGCTTGGCTGGTCACGGTGATAAGCAACACGAACACATCGTGCTCGGGAAAACTGTGCCACAGTAGACTTGAGCGGTTAGTTCGCAGGGATTTCTTTCGGCCGGTTCCCGATGCATTGATGGTGTCATGTCAGGCAGCGTGCAGAGAAGGGTAGAGTAATCCATGCGCGAAAGGAATCAGTGTCTTACAACTTGTGACCTTGGACCGCACGGCCGTGCGCTTAGAAGTGCCGTTTCTCGAACCTGAAGAAGCCTCTCCCCGTAGTCCCTATACTAGACTATATCAATCCTCTCATCCGTTTCATGACCCCCCCCCGCTAAACAGAAAGAATGACTTTGAAGTTTTTCCGGCCGGTGAATTCTTCATATTTAGGGGGAATTATGAAACGGATGAAGGGATTAGATATGTAATCCTACTATGATGTGCATCCACGCTCGACCCTAGCTATCCCCAAATGAACCACTGAACCCAAAGCCCTCAACCCTAAACTCTCCCCTGATGAGCCCGGGGTGCAACGAGAAGGTCAAGCAACGAAGGCAAGCACAGGGATGGTAAACTAGGCCTGCCCAATGCGGCTCTCCAGACTCTCTGCAAAAATTAAAAAAAACATTAAAAGACCACTCAAAAAAACAACTCTCACCCTGGCCCCACATGGAAGCCTGCAACTTATGCGTGGCTGGCTCGAACACAGCCGAGAGGCTAGCTGCTAGCCTGACAGACGGCACATGCGGCCCACTGACGGAGCCCTTTCTTGGTGGGGGACGAACTTGGAATTGAAAGCAAGCTCTGCCAGCGCTGCAAGCACCGAAGCACAGCTTATGTTAAAAATGAGTTCACTACGGCTCATGCACGCTGATTGATCTTGCGATGGAGGCCCACAAGACGAATCCTGTGGTGTGACTGGAAGTGAGCCCGAACCGTCAAGCTGCTCTGAGCGCCCTAAACCCCAAAACCCCAAAACCCAAAACCCCAAAACCCAAAGCCACAAAACCCAAAACCCTAAACCCTAAACCCCTAAGGCCCTAAACCCTATTTTTTTGCCGCAGGTTCCATGGCTGGCGATCCCGAGCAGCCTGAGACGGAGATCACGCAGCCTACGCAGCCTGCCCATGCCGCTCCTGCGCAGGCGCGGCGAAGCGATGCGAAGCACCAAGAGCCTTTCAGAGTCCCTCTTGATAATATAGAGCCCTAACTAATACCTATGTTTTTCCTTAGGGCTCCTTATGATAGTTTTACTATCAAGGGGCCCAAAACCCTATTCTAATTATTAAGGCCCCTATATGAGGCTCCTTGAGACCCGTCCGTGGAGCCTGCTTTAAGGATTCTGGGTAAAGCGCTTTACTAGCAGCGGGTTGTGTAGGCTAGGTTGTCTACATGTTTGTAGACAAAGGTTTCATAAGGGGTTTGCCGTCGGGTTCTGCCGGAAATTCCGCGCTTACTTTAGAAACCTTAAACTTGAACCCAACTGCCTAAATCCTGAACCCCTAAACCCTAAACTCCTGTTCTCAGGATCCCGACTACCTCGCTGCACTCATTCCGGTGATCTACAGTGAGCCTCGACCTTGGACGGCTCAGCGCCCTCCAGACACAGATTACCAGAGGGGGACGCCTAAGATCATAGGCAGAAACGCTATGCAGCTTCGGGTATAAGGCATCATGAAGGAGCCTACTGTATATACACAAAGCCGAATACGAACACTGAAACTCCCATGGTTTGGTGTAAGGTCCTTCAATACTTCAGGGCTAAATTTGAGGGTCTTCACAAAAAATAATCCTACTGTTTGGGGAATCTGGGGTCTATATCAAAGTCTCCTTATCGTTCCCTAAACCCTAAACCCTTTCTCTGGACTTATATCCAAGTTGAAATCCCTGCATGCGTCTCATGTGCACTGAACCACGTCACGCTTTTGAGGCGTAGGGTTTCTTGTTCAGGGATCCATAAGGGTTCCTTTAAAAGGGATCTTATGAAGGTTTACGATTTAGGCATCTAGAAGGGTCCCTTTAAAGGGATCTCTAGGAGGGTTTAGGGTTTAAGGTTTGCCTAAGGGTCCAAGTACCCAACTTTCATATACTCTCAAAAATAGGTAACCTACACGACTACTATCCCAAACCCGAGTACCTAATTATTGGGTCCTTTGGACCCCTAGGGTTTTTGGCAGCTGGAGAGATCCCAACCTTTTGAGGGTTCCTTCTTGTGATTTCCTTCTATATGCCCTGAAAAAGGCAGGCCCTTCAGGGTTGAGGTTTAGGGGTTTTTGGCAGCTGGAGAGATCCGAGGTCCCGTCCACCCGACCCGCTGGAGCCTTGCAAGCTGCGGGATGGTGTCGGCCCCGGCGCAAAAAAAAGCCTACGCTTAAGGGGCCTTTAGGGTTTTACTAATGTTTTGCAGGGTTCAAGGGGTCTATAAGTCTATAAGGGTTACTATAAGGAATTCTCTACGGGGTTCCCGTAAAGGGGTCTACAAGGGCTGCTATAAGGGCCATTATAAGGAGACTTGGTTGAGGGGGCCCTGTCTTACGTACCTATACTACATCTTGAAGTCTTTAAGGGTTGCTATGAGGGCTCTCACAAGGATGAACCTACCAAAACCTACTTTTTGGTAGGTTCGGTTCTTATTCTAAACCCTAGTATGGAATGCCTAGGAAAAAAGTAGGTTCTGGTAGGTTAAGGTATGGTTTAGGGACGTGAATACTTAACATATACAGTTTAGGGGCCTCTAAGGCTTAGGGTTTGGGTTTAGGGTTTGAGGGTTCAAAATTTAAGGGCGTAGGCTAATACTTACCTCTACTACTTTTTGGGGGGGTCCTTGTTATTATTATAGTATAATGGCTCAAAAACCCCATTCTCATTAACGAGGCCCTTATAGTGATTTAAAGGAGGGTGTCTGGTTGTTTTGTGTGGGCTTTTTGAGGGTATGCTAGTGCATTATTGTTTGTGTTTTCTGTCTGTTTTGAAGGGTTCCGCAATGAGGGCTTTGTAGGGTGCGGAACTGCAGCGGTCTCATGAGGATTCCAGAGGCTGTCGGTCCAAGAATACAATGAGAGGGAGGGAATGCTTTAGTGCCGCAAATTAGAGCACTCACCATCATAGTGAGCATCATTATTATCGTCATGACCACAAGACGAGGTTACTCGCGGCAGCAGCAGCAGCAGCAGCAGGAGCAGCAGGAGCAGCAGCGGCGGCAGCAGCAGCAGCAGGAGGAGGAGTAGTAGTAGTAGTAGTGGTAGTGGTAGTGGTAGTGGTAGTGGTAGTGGTAGTGGTAGTGGTAGTGGTAGTGGTAGTGGTAGTGGTAGTAGTAGTAGTAGTAGTAGTAGTAGTAGTAGTAGTAGTAGTAGTAGTAGTAGTAGGAGTAGCAGTAGCAGTAGCAGTAGCAGTAGCAGTAGCAGCAGTATTAGTAGGAGTAGGAGTAGTAGGAGTAGTAGGAGTAGTAGGAGTAGTTGGAGTAGTTGGAGTAGGAGTTGGAGTAGGAGCATGATCTGCAGAAGCCTTCGCAGCCCCGAAATTACAGCCTAAACGCTACCTGCAACCCCAAACCCTACAAAATGGTAGGATATGGCCCCTTATAATTATTTACAGGGTATAGCCCCTAAAACGGCTGGTTTTCGAATTTCCAGGTAACCCCAAAACCATCTTTGAGCATGGCTTGCTGCTCCTTTCCATACTTGTGGTATAATATAGTATATGGTCTACTATTGTACAAGTTTGTGTTCTACAGTATATAATAGTAAAACATACACAAAAAGCTTGAAGGGCGTGCGCTCAGAATCCTCAGGTCAATCAATATTCCTGGCTTAGGCTTAAAGGTGTGTTCGCCACCTGGCTTAGTATTGCTACGCGAACTCTCCGAAAGCCTTTTTTAGCTGTTTAGGTTGAGGTGAGGGTTATTTTTTCAGCTTCCTGCTTCCAGATCCACAGCAGAAAGTGCTGATTGGGCGGGCGAGAAAGTGTGACATCGTGGCGGGGAGCCCGGACAACAGTGTTGCCGAACATTGTCACATCAAAGAACATGATTTCATAGTACCTTGGACTGGCCACTCAGCCTCAACGGCTGTTTCGCTTTGCTTGATGCATGTAGGATCGCAACTCTGGCCATCTGCGTCTTGCTTTCATCAGCCCCACGTTGCAGAGGTGAAAGATGAACGCGACTTGGCCGCAGCCAGCGGTGTTCCCGCAGCACGAATAGGCCCAGCTCGCTGCTCATGAGCGCCCCAAAATCTCCGAATGAGGCTGGGCACTAAACTCCACAACCCCTGAGGCCCTAAACCCTCAAACCTCAACACTGAACCCTCAACCCCAAGACCGATTCATTAGGCTCTGGGACTCTAGGATTGCTCCTGTGTTCCAGGCTGTTCACGACAGCAGCGGCCTGAGCAGAAGTGCCAGGCATGCTCCTTCTATAGCTATAGTATAGTATATTACTGTACAGAAGAGTATATGATAGTATAAGACATAAGAATTTCGAAAGTATAATATACATACGAGGCCCAGTGAACTTCGTGTCGTGGGGGGTTGCCTTCAGAAGAAGTGACCTTGGCAGAATCGTCTTGTTGCTTCGAGGTGTGCTGCCCTGGTTTTGTATGTGAGGTGCATGCGCAGTATCCTTTCTCTTTCTTTTCCCTAAGACTTGAGTCCTGAACCCTAACCGCGGGAATGATCCATCTACAGTAGACTCCTGACTAGTAAACTCCCTTACTTTAATAAGTGCCTTGATATTATGATCCCTGTTGTTGTAGTACCTTTCAATACCTTTCAACTTAAGGGCTTACATTGCCTTTTGATTATATACGACGTATACCTTAAACCTTCGGAGATTTCTGGCACAGCCGTCAAGAACATGCAAGTTGGGCTGTCTGGAAGCTGACCCCAAATATTATAGGGGCCGGTATAGTGAATCATGCTACTCCTGCGGGTGTCCTATTCCAGTTTAACAAGGATATTGTACACCAAAGCTTTGTTCTAATTATTCAGGCCACTATCCTACACCCCAAAATGAAAGTATTCTTCTAGAACTTTGAAACAGCCCTTCACAGGAAGCCCTGAAAGAACCCTATTCTCATAATTAAGGTCCCGCCCTCTGCCAAAGGAGGAGGAAAAACCCTAAACCCTAAGCCCAAAACCCCAAAGCCCAAAGCCCGAAAGCCCTCCGCCGAGGCATCTGCAAGTCTCCCGGGACGGAGACCTAGCGCTCTTCGTTGTGAAGCAGTTGGGGGCCAATGGCTCCTGGGTGAATGACAACAGGTCTCGACTTCAGGGCCTCAGGGCTCGGGTTTAGGCTTCTTAGGGCTTAGGGGTTTAGGGTTTCGGGTTTAGGGCTTAGGGCTTAGGGGTTTAGGGTTTAGGGTTTTGGTGTTTAGGGTTTAGGGTTTAGGGCTTAGGGCTTAGGTCTTTCGGGCTTTGGGGTTTCGTGTCTGAGGCTTCAGGGCGCCGGGCTTCAAAGGGCGTAGATCTTACGTGACAGCTGCACTTCGGAGCCGAAGTCTTAAAGAGGCTACGGCTACGGCTAGGGTCTCGAGGACTTGAGCATGCAAGCGGGTTTCCGTTGAAGCCGCAGCCGCAGCCTCCTTCTCATGCCAATTGCTACCACCTATTATAGGACCAAGCCCACATTGTCAAAACTTTCCGAGATTTCATGAACTCAGGGTAGTCAGGGTCTCGACTTCTCTGACGGCAAGTACCGCCTTCTAAAGATGGAAGTCCGAGACCTCGCATGATGCAATGCCGATGATCGCGAGACTGCGCAGCCGGGGCCAGCTCCTGCAGACCGCAACTAGGTAGGGCTTTGGGACATTTTATGTTTGCTCTTATTGGGCTTAAGAGGATCATACCTGCTAATATTTGGATAGTTGTCAAAATTATGGCCCTTTTTGGGTATCCTTAGGTGCCGTATTATAATAAGGACCCAAAAAGGGACCATAATTTTGACAGCCACCCGTTTGTCAAAGGCTCTAAAAGCACCTCCTAGGCATTCGCCGTCACCGCGCTTTCAGGGCTGGCCGGGCTCTTCAGAAGCCCATCCTTCGCCTCCTCCGTGCCACGGATGCAGCGCACGGCCGCCGTCATCGAGCCGGAGCAGTGTGAGGAGGTACGGTGGGGGGTAGGGTTTAGGGTTTAGGGTTGGGTGGGGGGGTTTCTTCAGCTGGGGGTTCAGGGACCCAGCAGTTTAGATGTCCTGAATATCCGAAAGCACCCAGATCGACTATGACATGTGGGAGCGTGCACATGTCGACGAGAACGTCAGCGTGGACGAGTTTGCCAAAGCGCGAAGCTCAGTGCCTTTATCTTCTGTAGGTCCCATGACGGAACTTTAAGGGGAACCACAAGACCCCATGTCCCAAACCCTAAACTCTACATCCGCAAACCCTAAATAAAAGTAGCCCTGCATCCGAAAAGAGGCCTTAACAGCCTTAACATAGAATTTATCGGGGAACTATCGGGGGCATTCCTCGGGGCATTGAGCTCAACCCTTCAAGAGACCCGAAAATTGAACTGTCTGGGTAATGAACCAGAGACATGAAGTTTAGAGTCACGCATTTTTCATGTTATACTCTTGCATTCCTGGGAAGACTACAAGTCAATATTGTTGAAACTAAAGTTCGAGCTCAACCTCTGTAGATGTCTGATCAACTAGTACCTCGTAATACTGTTCTTGAGTCCCCCTTCTTACAATCAAAAACGAGTGACAAGGTGCGAAGTGTCTTCGGCTAGCAGGCTAGCAAAAAACCCTATCCATTAATTGAAATACCAAACGCTAACGGAGAATCTATTTCCCAATGCTAGCAGAGAATCTATTGCCCAAGATCCTAGACCCTAAACCCTAACAAAAACTCTAGAAAGGTGCGAACGGTCTTCGGCTACGGCTCATTGATATTTCGCCCGGGCTTCCCGTACCAGCGCATGTACCCGGCCCCTGGGCTCTGTCAGAAGTCATAGGGTTCAGGTTTTCGGCTTAGGGTTTCAGGTTTAGGGCTTACCTGTAGCCAGAAGGACCTACCGTTTTAGGGTTCCTTATCATGGTTTCTATATATAGTTCCTTAAAGAAGTCGGTTTTTTCGGCTACCGGTAGGGTTTCAGGTTTAGGGCTGAGGGCTTCAGGTTTAGGGCTGAGGGCTTCGGGTTTCAGGTTGGGGGTTTAGGGCGTCGGGATTTAGGGTTTCAGGGTTTAGGGCTTTGGACTCTGGAGTCTAGGGTGGAGGGTAAGGAGTCTGTAGTTACGGAACCTCGGGGTCTGGGATTTTGGGTAGGCGCCGCTGGTTTTGGCCGAAAGGGCTGGCTCATGTGAATCTGAGGGTTTCGGCTTAAGAAATGCTGGAGTGTAAGCTGTGGGAGTACCACAACACTGAAGAGCTCTAATGCTAAGGCGTTTTATCATGTCTTCCGGAAGGGGATATACAAATAGCAGACAGTATATTCCCATTGTTACGACGATAGCTGAAACTTAAGATGCAACGAAATCTCTGTTATGCACATTCACGCATACACATATACACACATACACACACACACACAAAATTCATGCATATAATAAAGCACATGTTCAAGCATGTAGCGAGACATGCTTTCGTCAGTGTCATTGTTGTTCTTTTGAAGAATATTATTGTAGTTGTCATTATTGTTGTTGTTATTATTATTGTCGCCACTACATACGGTCATCAGTACTAATATTACCACTATTACTGTCATTACTACGGTTATTGGTATTGCTTCACTGGAGGCGTAGGTGCAAGATGCAAGATCCCAGGCCTGCGTCCGAGGATATCTCCGGCGCTTCTGGCAGATGTCCTGCGATCACCGAGGGACACCCGAGTTCCCAGGCCGGCCCCATTAGGTTCCTTTCAGGGCTCCTTTGCTTAGATCCCCAATACCTAACCTTTAAACGTTTCGGGTTCTTACAGTTTAGTAGGAATCGGAAAGTTTAACCTTTCATTTCTGTGGCTTATTGTAGTAGTAAGTTTGAGGGCTCCGTTAAACGTCATTTCAGGGTGCATGTAGGACTTCCTTTAACAGTTCCTTCAGCAGGGCTCCTTCTAAGGTTTTTTGGGGGAGTTTCTACAAGGGTTCCTTTCAGGGTTCCTCTAAGGAGTTATGCAGGATTCCTTTATGGGTGCAACGGACTCTTCAACCCTAAACCCGAAACCGCACAGCCTGCATGCCTCTGCATATGTCGCGGGATATAGGGTTCAACGGAATTGGGGATGTGTTTTTTGCTGGAGACCCTTGCGGGGGTCCACTGTTTTTTTTTTCCTAGGTCTGGCCTGGTCTGGGGGGCCTTGCTAGGTCTGGTCCCATGGTCCCTTGGTCCCCTGGCCCTTTGGTCCTCTGGTCCTGGTCCCCTGGTCCTTTGGTCCTCCGGTCCCCTGGTCCCTGGTCCGCTTCCCCATTAGCTTGATGAAAAACACAAACAATAAAAGACTCTGCAAATTGTAGTTCCCCAATAGCTTGATGCAAAACACAAACAAGGCCGACCCCGCAAATTGTAGTTCCCCCATTAGCTTGATGCAAAACACAAGCACAAGAACACACCGCAAATTGTAGTTCCCTAGTGGCTTCATGCAAAAGACAAGCAGATGAACACACCGCAAATTCTAGTTCCCTAATAGCTTCAGGCAGAACACAAGCAAAAGAAGACCCTGCGAATTGTAGTTCCCCAATAGCTTGATGCAAAACACAAGCAACACCGATCCCTGCAAATGCGAACCCCCCAATAGCTTCATGCAAAACACAAAGAAAACCGAACCCTACAGCAACAACAAGAACGGGATAGGGGTTAAAAAAATTAAATAAGGAATTAAAAAAAATAAGGATAAAAAAATAAATAAGTATCAAAAAATTAAACGGGTATCCGCGAAAGGAAGGGGAAAAAGGAAGGAAAGAAAGACAGAGAGAGAGAGAGAGAAGGAAAGAAAGAAGGAAAGAAAGAACGAAAGAAAGAAAGGAAGGACTAAAGAAAGCAAGGAAGAAATCAAGAAAGAACGAAAGAAAGAACGAAATAAAGAAATAAAAAACAACGAAAGAAAGAACAAAAGAAAGAAAGAAAGCCATGCAATAAATAGAGAAATAAGGAAATAAAGAAAGCTACAAGTAAAGAAAGAAAACAAACATAGAGAACTAAGTAAATAAAAAAAGCTATAAGGAAAGAAAAAAGAAAACACAAGGAAAGAACCAAAGAGAGTTAGAAACAAAAACAAAACAAACAATGAATAAACAACCAAAGAACAAAAACAGAGAAATAAAGAAAGAAGGAAGGCCATAAATTAATAAAGAAAAACAGAAATAGTTAAAGGAACAAGAAAGACGCGGAAAATAAAGAAGAACGATACGTAAGACTATCGCTTCATTGTCATTTTTGTTTGCCCTGGGTTCTAGGGGTGCGACGCTTAAATCGGCTTGGCGCAGTTTCAGCGAGAACTAACGTCGCCCCGGAAGAAACAGCGAAGGAAGAAAAGAAAGAACACGAGTACACAAACGAAAACGTAGAAACTACTTATGCTCTACCTTATTCAGTCCCCTGATCCTCCACGTCAGCAGCATTTCTCCTTGCCCTGGCGCGAAACCGCAGCCATGGCTTCTAACTACAAGCACGTCGCGCCCGACAACGACGAGGAGTAAGAAAGACAGAACAAGCACGCTGAATGGCTGCAATTGCCGTATTTCATTTTTTGATCCTTATTTGATTTTTGTTTGACCCTCGGGTTTTTTCCCTACAACTACAACTAAAACTACAACATACTACACCTACAACCACAACGCCAACAACAACAACACTACTAGCAACAACTACACCACGAAATCCGTCCTAAATGCGAAATTGTAAGGAAATTTGATTTTCCCGAGGAATAAGCTAGGTAACGTATGTTTTCCTTCGGAAAACCTGAAGAAATGACACGAACGCCGTAGGTAATAGGAAAATAGGCTTTTTCCTAGTAAAAACCAAGGAAAACAGAGAAATACAACGGAATCCGTAGGAAAATCGTGTTTTCCCTAGGAAAAACCAAGCAAATCCTTAGGAGCCGAAAGAAAATCACTAGGAAAGCAGTGTTTTCCCTTGGAAAAATTCAAGAATTGCTGTATCTAAAAAGCAAGAAAGAAAGACAGAAAGAAAGAAAGAACGAGAGAGAGAACGAAAGAACGAAAACAAAAGCAAGAGGAAGAACGAAAGCAAGAACGAAAGAAAGAAACTTAAGGAAATACCACGGGATCCGTAGGAAAATCGTGTTTTCCCGAGCAAAAACCAAGCAAAT